AGACACAGGTGTTTATGCTGAGCATCTAATGCGACGAGCTTATCGATATATATTGCACACGTCATTTCCATAACTTCAGTTAATGATCGTATCGAATATCTCGAGAAGAGTTTGCGAAGCCGACATGTGTTTTTCTCCTTTTACAAGCATATATAATTGTACAATAAAATGCAATGGTTGATAATTTTATTCGGTAATGTTTTCCAGTATGAACGGTTTAATATGATCACAAAATAAGGATTAATGTAATTATAATAGCAAATGAAATTTTTTTAATTATTATATTAAATTAATTATATAAAATTATATAAAATTTTATGACATTAAATTAATTACAATTAAATTAAAATAAAATGTTTTAATGTTAGAGGATAAAATATTTGAATATAAGAACATTCTTAAACTAGAAAATAAACTTTTGAAACTTTGAAAATATAAATGAGAAAAACGGAAAATAAAAACGAAGGATGGAAGTTAATCAGCCTAAGATATTCTTACTTTTAAGAAAACCGACGAATTTGTATTCTTTTGTAAAGATTATTTATCTTGAGAATGACAGCTTTTACCACTTATTAGCACGCGTTCATTTCCATAATAATAAAGAATTTTATTTTCAATTATACATTTGGTTCGATCGAGAGTTGTGGACTTTCCTTTTTTCCTTACGACGACCGAAATTAAAGAGAACAGAAGTTAACACTTCCCCTGATTCCATCGGTCGCGGTCCAAGGGAGATTATAAAAATGATGTGTACAATGTTATTTGTTATTATGTGTTATTATGTGCATCGATAAACTCAACGCATTAGGCGCTCAACATAAGCGCCTGCGTCCGACGATAAGTTATGTCATCCGTACTTATCTTTTGTACCCGATCTATAATAAGTAAACTATTAAGTGTATGCAAAAGTTTTAATCTTTTTCAGCCCTCTAATGTAATTATTTTAAATTGAAATATTTCCCCGCAGTTTTATATTTTTGTAAGGTTGGTGTTGAACTTTCTAAAACGCCATTTATTATGATTCATTTGTGCACATTAACTTAAAAATAGTTGATACAATCAGCATCGAGAAACTTTATATTCGATACTGCGTTTGGTTTTGTCACTAATATAGAAGACTATCCAGGATACATCACGAATGTCTGCGTTTAAGATTATCATACATAATCTATTTTTTATCGCCAGTAACAATTTTCGATAAAAAAATATTTTTTGTGCTATCTGGAAAGCAATGAAACGCACGTATTCAACTAACGGATAATGCTGTTTTGCGACAATTCATGTGGCACCCATTTTCCGAGCTTCTGAATTTTTCCCATGCAGTCGCCTTGAACCTGTTGTTTGGTCAACTCCGAGCTTTTCTGCAAATTCTACTTGCGTCTGGGTCGGGTTTTCACTCAACGCTTTCAAATTGTCGGTCTCAAGCTTTCGTGACGTTCCAGAGCGTGGGCGATTACTCACATCAAGGTCACCGTCTTTAAAGTAACCGATTTACGAAACCAATATTTGCACGTATTATGGCACACAATATTTTTCCTAAGAACAGAGCAAATTCATATGCTTTAGTAACGTTTTTTCCTTGCTAGAACTCATATCGAAGTGCGCAGTGTCGAATATGAAATTTTTCGTCGCTCATTGTATCAACTGTTAGTTCTAAGGATACTATTAGTTTTAAGGATATGTGCGTCAATGAATTATATTGAATGACGCTTTAGAATGGTTCAATATCTTATAAAAACATAAAATAACGGGACAATTTTTCAATTAAAAATAATTACAAAAAAACTAAAACATTTCCATGCACTTAATACTTATCTTTATAACTCCAAAACTAAGCTTCGGATAACATTTTGCAAAAAGGAAAATAATTTTAGAATTCGTTAAAAAACATGAGATTTCAAGGACAATGAATTGTTCTAAATCACCCTGTATATATATATATATATATGATATATATCTTCCAGTATATGTATATGTGTCTATGTATATTTATAATATGTTTATGTCTCTCTGTGTGTACAGGGTAATTCAAAACAACTTGCTATCCTTAAAATGACATGTTTTTAAATGAATTCTAAGACAATTCTTCTTTTAAAAATATTATCCGATGCTTAGTTTTTGAATTAGAAAAATAAATGCGTGCAAAAATTTTAGTTTTTGTCAGCCTGCTGATGTAATTATTTTAAATTGAAATATTTTTCCGCCGTTTTGTATTTCTGTAAGGTTGATATTGAACTTTCTAAAATACCATTCATTATGATTCATTGCGTGTGTGTGTATATGTGTAAATACACATACATACACGCACGCACATGCGCGCGTATTCTCTCGTGCGTATACGTATTTTTTTATTATAAAGCTATTCGCACAAATGCGTAGCGTTTGTGTGTGTATGTGTGTATGTGTGTATTTATATATATATATATATTGTATATATTGTATATATATATACAAGGTGTCTCAGAACAATTTTGATAGAGCTCGTGGAGACGTAGGATTAAAATAAACAAAAAGGTATGGTATCGTTTTACGATATTCGCAATAATTATCGAGATTAATTATAGAAATCTGACAAGTGAGCGCGCACCAAAATGAATGACTAGAGGGGTATTCGGATTACAACGCGGCCTAGTTGATTCAACAATTGTTATCGACACGCGGCGAGATGTAGGAGCAGCGAAATAAGACTAGCGCATAGCCAAATAACGATGTATTGCTTCCCCACGTGCAGGCAACAGTTGCTAAGTCGATAGGGTCGCGCTGTAACCCGAGTAGCTATAATGCTCCTCCAATTATTCATTTCAACGCGCGCTCACTTGTCAGATTTCTATAATTAATAACTCGATAATTATTGCAAATATCGCAAAATGATATGAGACTTTTGTCCTCCTGAATCCATTCTACATCCATTTCCATGAGCTCTGTCAAAATCTGGGATACCTTGTATACACTTTCCCAGAACTGCCTCTTCGAATTTCCTCTTAGGAGGTAAAAGTGGGTGCAATTTGGAATTGAAAGTTTCTCTACCACTTTTGGATCAGAACATTAGTTTATGAGTTATTAACTAATGAATCTGACCAATCAGATTATTCGACGGGCGGGCATATGGAGTAGGATTCAAGTTTTAATTTTAATCTATAAAACTGAAAATTTTCTAATTCAGAGAATAGGAAAGAGAAAGATGGGCGTGGAAGGGAGGGAGGAGAGGAAGGGGACAGGTGGAAGAGAGGAGAGAGAGGAGGGGCAGCATAAGGACATAAGGTGTAAAGGTCTACAATGGCAGTAAGCAGTAAGAAGTAAACGTGAACAGTAAGAAATGGACCAATCACAGTTGATTATTCTTGTCATAATCGACTGTGATTGGTTTATTTCTTACCGCTTACGCTTACTTCTTACTATCATTGTAGACGGCCCTTTAGATTTACACAATGGCGCCGTTTTTCACAAAAACTGTTTTTCACTTTCTATATCTCGATAAATCTTATGCCTTTCCCTCTCTTTCTCTCCTTCTCTCCCTTGCTCCTACCCCTTTCACGCCCATCTTTCTTTTTCCTACTCTCTGAATTAGAAAATTTTCAGTTTTATAGATTAAAATTAAAACTTGAATCCTACTCCATATGCCCGCCCGTCGAATAATCTGATTGGTCAGATTCATTAGTTAATAACTCATAAACTAATAATATTCTGATCCAAAAGTGGTAGAGGAACTTTCAGTTCCAAATTGCACCCTCTTTCACGCTCTAAGAGAAAATCCGGCAATTCTGGGACACCCTGTATATGTGTAATTTACATATGGTGCGCATGCATTGCGCGAGCCTCGCACTCTCAATCGTACGCGCGCACATTTTATTATTCATTGTTATCTCAGTATAGCGATAATTCCCGGGGATCAAGGCTGTCGAGATCTCGAGATGTTCGATGTCACTTTTATTTCAAAAATTTACTTTCGTCATCCAAAGTTTTATCTATTCTCAACGATCAATGCTTGACAAAGAAGATGCTTGACAAGCTTGACAAAGAATCTCCCATTCTGCCTAAATTACTCGGAAGATTTAACTTTATATCCAAACGCTTTAAATCAGTCGTCCTTACACTGATTGAAAAAAAGTATACGCTCTTTATGCTCACGATATGTTAAAACTCGAACTGGTCGTGATCCTAACGGTCCCGACAGCTGTGAGAAAAACACAAACTCAGTAATGCTTATTACAGATGGGAAAACACTTCGTAATCTTAATTTCTGATATGTCCATTGAGTAATTGGTGTTTCTGAAGCTAATCTGGCCGATTATTACAGATTCCCGTGCGGATAAGGGCCCGCAGCGGATGAGCATTGCACACTGTATATGTATACGCGCACGCGCGTATATGTGTGTATGTTGTGTATGTTTTCTATCCTTAAATCTTAGAGATATCCGAAGAGAAAAACGCGGAAACATCTCGAGCACGAATGGACACATGCATCTCGTTTATGGCTCGATTATATACTTTGTGCTTGCATGTGGCACTTATTGCGCGCAGAGAAAGAAACGGTTGCACTTGAGTCGTTTGAATATGTCACGCGACAGCGGTAAAAAGCGATGTGTAAAGAATCCTCCCTCGTCGATTGAGTATATTCATACAAGGATGTGCTCACTCGAAAGAAAACGCGCATACGTGTGCGTAAGTGCGCGCGATACCTGTTGATATGTTGGTATATTGATGTGTGTGTGTGTGTGTAGTATTGCCTGGCGAATAGTACAAAGCCCGTTTCCTTTAAATTTGAGCAAATTGCGCTTTGCGAATCTCTTGCCGCGAGCTTGAACGCCGGAATCCGCTTCTTATCAGAGTTTCGTCTCTTATTGCTTACGCAGATCTTGAGAGTGATGTACTTCCTCCTGGCGCGATTATTATCATCCTTGCCGATCGATAGATCGAAAGAGAAAGACAGAGAGAGAGAGAGAGAGAGAGAGAGAGAGAGAGAGAGAGAGAGAGAGAGAGAGAGAGAGAGAGAGAGAGAGAGAGAGAGAGAGAAAGAGAGAGAGAAAGAGAAATACTTTTGAGACAAGTCAGCCGGGGAAGTCGCCTGAAGGTTCACCTAAATATTCACCGATGGCCAACGCGCCCCCTTCGACAGCCATCTCACTCTATTTTTGTGGGCGCTTGGTTCTTTTCCCTAATATAATATTTATAATTTCCTAATGTGTCACACACCGAGAATAGAGTTTCCCAGCGAGAGAGGTGATGGAGCAGAATACCCTTAAGTTTCAATTGAAGGAAGAGAGAAAGAGAGGCTCCAATTTGACGTCACGTTATTCTCGAGACGTCTCTCCACAAATTAGCGGGAGAAGGGGCTGATACAATTCCGAAAGATCATCATTGGAAATTTGCGCCGGTACAAACTCCGCCGATTCGATTTCGGATTTCCTGTAGATGACAGCTGACACCGCTCTCTCACCTTTCTTTCTTCTGAATTTCCTAATGCAGTGCGAATCGCAGTGTTGCTTAATACTGTTCGAAAGATAGCGTCGTTTCTCGCCAATTCTCCAAACTGAACTCAAGCACTGATTGTTGAACAATTCGGATTCCTGCCGACTCTACCACCGTTGGTTTTCCTCGAATTATCTCGGTATAGCTTACGGAGTCTGTGAAACAGAGAGAATACGTATTTGTTATATATTATCTAGTTGATACGCGCAATATCCGAACGAAAAGAGTTGATGTCAGAGTTAGAGAAATCGAACGCGACGAATTTGCAGAGAGACCTCTCTCGTTATTGGTCCGTTTACCTCCTCATTGCAAGTCCTCTTCACACTTGGGAATGTCGAATATCTCGGCAAACAACGGCGGTAACTTGAGTTTCGTCCAATTCCTTCGGAACCAATCGAGCAGATTGGCATGCCTGGCGCCAAGCGCTCGCAGCTCAGGTATCCTCTGTGAGATGCTGCCGGAACAAACCGAGCTGATGTCATTGGAAGCGGCCGACTGACTCCGTGACACCTCCACTCTAAGTGCCTCCAAAAGCCGATCTTGAAGTTTCTGCACCGCCTTCACATCGTTCAAGCCCGGCCGTTCGCTCAGTAGCACTGCTGCCGAGAACAGTCCCAGCTCAGCATCCGCCAGTTGGTGAGCGTTTAATGTCGACGTGACTTGCATCAACGCAGTCACGAAGTCAGGCTGTCGATCGTAAAATAGTTAGCCAAACAAAAAAGATTGTTGCGATATAATTGGTGGGTGAGACAATTCAGATATTTATTATTCAATTGATGACATTTTTTTTATACAAGTCTGTATGAAAGAATCCCAACAAACATAGAATATAACTGTTATACAGGGTCCCAAAAGTCCCAAAGTAACAGACCACCCTAATAACTCTTCAGTATTGAAGTTTCAAGAAAAATGATCTCAATAAAAGTTCTAGGGATTTAAGTGAGCTATCTTATGATGACCTTGACTTTGACCTTGACCTATATTTTCAAGGTCATTTGAAGGCCAACTTGTATTTTTCAAATGGAAATCTCTATTTTTTACCTCGGATTCTAAAAGAATCCGCAAAATTTTACGTTCAGATATTTATCTTTATGGAGGGGTCGAAATAAACTGTAGAGGTCATTTGAAGGTCAAATATATTATTGGTACGAAATAGCTGGTAGATCGTGGTTTTTATGAAATATGACCCGAATAAAAGTTGTTGGGATAAAAAAGGGTCATAAGCTGGTGACCTTGACTTTGACCTTGACCGCCATTTTCAAGGTCATTTAAAGGTCAACTTGTGGGTTTTTTTAAATAGGGACCTCTATTTTTGATCCCGGATTCTGAAGAGCGCGTTCAGGTTGTTGAGCATTCAGGTTGTTGTAGGAGTCAAGGCAAACGTTGAGGGTCATTCAAAGGACAAATAATGATTTGACCTTGAGAGCACCGTGCAGTAACGGAATACGTTGCCAATGTTCACTTGATTGAATAAAATATTAGGTAACCATTGCCTGCGTAGCAGACTGGATTTTCAGACCTCATGTGATCCAGCCACTGAAGCCAAGATCCAAAAACGATTTTTTTCGACGATGTTCTAATTTCGGAAGCTACTTAGACCTTGGATTATTACGATCTTGTCTTCAGTGGCTGGATCACATGAGGTCTGAAAATCCAGCCTGCTACGTAGGCAATGGTTACCTAATATTTTATTTAATCAAGTGAACATTGGCAACGTATTCTGTTACTGCATGGTGCTCTCAAGGTCAAATCATTATTTGTCCTTTGAATGACCCTCAACGTTTGCCTTGACTCCTACAACAACCTGAATGCTCAACAACCTGAACGCGCTCTTCAGAATCCGGGATCAAAAATAGAGGTCCCTATTTAAAAAAACCCACAAGTTGACCTTTAAATGACCTTGAAAATGGCGGTCAAGGTCAAAGTCAAGGTCACCAGCTTATGAGCCTTTTTATCCCAACAACTTTTATTCGGGTCATATTTCATAAAAACCACGATCTACCAGCTATTTCGTACCAATAACATATTTGACCTTCAAATGACCTCTACAGTTTATTTCGACCCCTCCATAAAGATAAATATCTGAACGTAAAATTTTGCGGATTCTTTCAGAATCCGAGGTCAAAAATAGAGATTTCCATTTGAAAAATACAAGTTGACCTTCAAATGATCTTGAAAATATAGGTCAAGGTCAAAGTCAAGGTGATCATAAGATAGCTCATTTAAATCCCTACAACTTTTATTCAGATAATTTTTCTTGAAACTTCAATACTGAAGAGTTATTAGAATGATCCGTTACTTTTGGGACTCCCCGTATGACATAGGAGTAACATGTAATATAACATATGTTATACTCTAGTTATATTGAGGTTATATAATTTGGTTTTATAATTGTAATATGATTGTGTTACGTATCTGTTACATTGTTTTGTTATAAGCTGGAGATAACATTATAATAATAATATAACAATAATGTAACACGTTATATAACAGTAATTACGTTCATATTACATTGATGTTATATAACACAATTATTCATGCAATCCATTAAAAGCTGCAAATGCTTTCTATTGCAAATAAGGGTGTATTCCGATAGAAAAAGAAATAGCAAAGCGGAACAGTAACAAATAAAAGAAATGGTAGGAGGCTAATCAATCAGAAATTTCGCTCCGATTTTTTGTGAATGCTTTGTTGTGTAGTTTTATGCGTTTCTGTATTTTTAATGCCTTCATCGCGCTTAAGCAGACCATATTGCCTATTTATATTGACGTTTATAATGTATGCTGATATATATATCCCCACTAAAACGTACATTGAATCCACGTGGAACGCACATTGCATTTACGTGGAATCCACAAAACCACATGAATTTCATGTGGATACAACGTTTTTGTTTTCGTGGGGATATCTGCAGTTATACTATTTAAATATTTAAGAACGCTTGTATATTATACAAAACTCACACAGAGAAAAATTTCTTTAGGTTTAATATTCGTACTTGTTTGATTTTGAGTTGTTTCATTAAAATATTATATTCTTACAATATCATTTTTAAAAATAAAAACTCTATTTCATTGAAAAAAACCATGTTGATGAAAAACAGGATTTGAAATCATATTTTTCAAAAGTGTTAAATTTTTTATTTAGACTCCCTTGAATTTGTTTCAAACTATTTTTTTGTGGGTTAATCATTATAATACTCCATTATCAGTAATTTTGAAACATAGTCTTTACTGATATTCGTCGCACATCGAATGTTGTTGCGTTGTTTTAATTTTTGACAAAAAAGATTATAATATTCTGTGAATATTGTAAGAATACATTATATTAAGTACAAGTTACAAGAACATCGTTGGAGTCATTGGAATAACTGCGTACCACTCGATTGTCAGGTTAAGCTAGAACCTAGCGCGGTCAACATATGGTGCCGCTTGGAATTCGAAGCTATCGACAGACGCAAGACACGAGAAAATTAGTAGTAACTTTTTTATATAACAGCTATATAACATTTTAATAACATGTAATATTTCTGTTATATAACTGCAACTTTTTATGAGTGAGAAATTACAACTAACATGTATATGTTTGTAACGTACACATTATATTACGTGTTACATTTCGTTATATTACGACAATGTAATTGTTATGTAACTGTGTTTATTGGGATAGTTCATCGAGTATTTACGAGGGCTGTTTGATAAATCATTCATTTCAAGATAACTTTGAAATGAAAAAATTTTTTTTACCGAAATTCGATTTATTTTTCCACACAGGATTTGTTCTTTCTGGAGCTGGACTTTCCATTAGGTCATTAAATATGAAATGTCCGATTTCGAATCAAAAGTTTGGAATCAAAGTTTAGTTTATTATATCTCAAACTAGAAATAGTACTATTAATCAAAGTATGTGCTTAAACTATCAACACAGTCCATCTTAATGGTAGCTTATTTATGTCAACAGTGAAGAAGCCTGAAAAGCGGGTGACGATGAGATCGCGAAAGGCGTTTTCCACAGCTTGTATGAGAATTTAATATTTTTCCTTGTAAGAGATAGCCCAATGCCTGGAAGAAGTGGTAATCAGTTAGTACAAGGTCTGATGAATATGGTGCGTGACGGAAAGTTTCCAAGTCCTGTAGCTTGAGCAGCTTGTTTATGCGATATGTGGTCAAACGTTCTCTTGCAAGAAGATTGGCCTGTCCGTATTGATCAATCTCAGCTGCTTAATCACAAGCAGCCTCATCATTTCGTCCAATTGCTTACAGTAAACATTCGCTGTAATCGATTGACAAGTTTCATGAAGCTATAGTGGATTATAACAGCGCTGGACCACCAAACAGACAGCGTTAGCTTTTTTTGATGAATATTCGGTTTTGGACTGTGTTTCGGCATTTCATTTACATCCAGCCATTATACCCAGTACTTGCGATTGTCGAAAAGAATCCATTTTTCATCACATGTAGCAATACGATGTAAAAATGTTCGCCTTTATGTCGCGATGATAAAGAAAGGCAAGCTTCCAAACGATTTCTCTTCTGACGCTCGTTTAACCCTCTTGCAGTTATATTTACTGGCAGAAATTAGTATCAAAATGGTTAAATTTTTTCTACAGAGGAAAATATTTACTTTCATGTTTTATAATAGTTTTCGAACGTGTTGATTTCAAATTTGAGGTTGTTGCAGAATTCAAAATGGCGGATCAAAAATGGCAGACCTGCAAGTAGTAAATCTTACCCCGAGTTAGACTCGGGTCTAACCATAAGCCGGTTAATTCATGCAGAACCCATCTATCCAGCTTCTTTACTTTGCCGATTTGACTCAAATGATCCAAGATCGTTGGAATACTAACGTTAAACTTTGCTATTAATTCACGCGTAGTTTGAGATGTATCTGCTTCCAGTTATAGCTTTCAGCTCATCATGATCCACCTTGGTCTTAGGTCGCCCACTTAGTTGGTCTTAGGTGGCTCACTTTCAAGATTAAAATCGCAAAAGAATGAAACTTCTCAAACCATAGACATACTATGCGTTCATTAGCCACATCTTCACCAAATTCGTTGATATTTCGAGTTGTCTGCGCTGCATTGGATTCATGACGGAACTCATATTCGAAAATAACACGAATTTTTGGCTTATTCATGGTTACACAAAAATTGCTGTAACAAAGACATTTCGAAAGATAATCACAAACCAAAATATGCGTTTAAAAGAGTGATGATGTACTTTTAAAACAAAAAAACCAAGAACTATAAAAATCAAAGAAATATCAGAGATATCGATTGCCGAACTTAGTACTTCAAGAAATCGGACTTTCATATTTAATAATTAATAACCTAATATAATTAATAACCTAATAACCTAATATTAGTTCGAGAAGTATACAATGAAGCGTTTTTTCTAGCAGAAATGACGTCAGATGTTACTGTCCTCTTCATCAGTACAGCAGAACTTAGTACAACAATTCATTGTACTGCTTATACTAGGTCTGAAGTTAGTACAAGCAATTCAGTATTGCGAGGACAAAATTTACACTAGTTTCGGCAGTAAAATTTGAAAAGAACAGATATACAGTTACTCGATTTATTCTCGGTTATTAGATACTTCTGCAGTTTTTACTTTATTAATATTAATCAATTTTGTCATGTGAAAGAACAGTATATTCCTATCATGCTCTCCATCCCAGATAGGTTCTACATGTAATGAAGGTAGATAAAGGCAAAATAAATCTTCTTCGTCTGAAGAATCATTAACAGATACAATAATGTATTGCGCTATGTTGTTTCTTGCATTGTGGCGTTCTTTTCTATCCTATCTGGCATTTCTGCACCTATGAACTTTTGCTGTATTCATTAGTTCTAGTTCTAAACCAATGCAGTTCCAGTGCAGCACTGGTTCAGCTGAAAAGAATAGACCCATAGTCTCTTTTTAGTTCGATACATTTTGCCCAATGGTTTTTCAACTTCTTTAAGCCTTCCAAAAAATACGATTTTTCAAATTCTGCAAAGTAGATGTTTGTTTCAGCGATGGTTTTTTTCCGCCGAGCAAATTTCTTCATGTTTACAAAGAGAAAGAAGTTGCATGGAGCCAAATCTGGAGAATAGAGTAGATATGAGGGAGCAGTTCGTAGCGCAATTCGATAATTTTGGCCATGGCAATTGCAGACATGTAAGTTGGTACATTGTCGTGATTAAAGAGAATTTTTTTCTTTGCTAAATGAGGCTGCTTTTCCATCAATTCAGCGTGAAATCGATCCAATAAAGAGGCATACTGTCCTGTAATCGGTTTTCCTTTCTCCAGGTAGTCGATAAAGATTCTACCATGCGAATCCCAGAAAATCGTGGCCATAACTTTTTCGACAGAAGAAACTATTTTTGTCTTCTTCGGAGCACATTCATCAGGAGGAATCTAGTGTTTTGATTGCTCTTTTATCTCTGAAATGTATCAGTGAATCTGTATTTCATCAACGGTTACATATAGCCGTAAAAAACTCACTTGGATTGCGCTTGAACATGTCCAAACGCTGCTTTAAAATGGTCGCACAATTCTGTTTTTGGTCAACCATGAGCAAACGCGGTAACTATCCTGCTGATAGCTTTCTTATGCTCAAACATGTGAAAAACATGTTCGTTTGAAATGTTTATCATCTTGGTTATCTCGCGTATTTTTACTCGACAGTCGTCCAATGGATTTTATTGACCATTTCTTCAGTTGTGACCTCATTCGGATGTCTTATTCGGGCGCTTAATATGATTCGTGCTTGTATAGTCACAGCGAAATTCAGTGAACCGCTCGTGAATTATTTCGTGTGACGGAGCAGATAATACTGTTTCGGCATTTCTTCAGTTGTCTTAAAAGTTTTTCCACGCAAAAAATACTGCTTTATCAGCATACGAAATTCACTTTTTTATAGCAAAGAAACACTAACTTTTCCGTTTTCGAACGTTATCAAAAAGTTTCTGTTTGACAGATCTACTTAAAATTTTTTGTGTATAATTAAATAAAACAGTGAATGTCAAAAATAAAATTAGACTTGCAATTTGAACGCCATTTCTTGTCAAAATCACTGACTTATTAAATAGCCTTTGTATTTATTTATCTAGATCTGTATTTACGAGAAGAAGAATCTTTAATTACAGAAATCTTTCACATTACAGAATTCTTTAGTTTGTAGAAATCGTGGCTTGAAAGTATTGGGTTGCTCGGAAAGTAATTTCGGTTTTTTTCATGAGAATGAAAGACGATATTTTTAATAGGAAGAAAAGTTTTATTCTGTTAAATATTAACCATTTTGTTCTAACCTTTTGCCATCTTTGAGGTAATAACATAATTCCATGCTCGTAGAACTTCTGATCCTTATTGGCAAAAAACTGAATTATGTGATTTTTGACACTTTCATTTGAATCGAAATTTTTACCATCCAAAGAATTTTGCAGTAATCGAAACAAGTGATAATCGATGCCAAATCAGGTGAATATGGTGGATGCGGTAGCAAATCCCATCCAAGCGCTAAGTTTCTGGCTAGTCATTAAACTTATGTGAGGTCTGGCGTTGGCTCATGATGACACACAACACCTTTTCTGTTCGCCAGTTCTGGTCTCTTCTGCTTGATGAAATCATTCAATCTGTCTAATTGTTGAAAATATACATTCGAATCAATCGTTTGGTTGTTTGGTAGCAGCTCAAAAAAAACCATTCCTTTCCAATCCCATCAAACAGAAAACATCATCTTCTTTTGATGGACATCAGCGATGTGCTTTGAGCTGGTTCATTATGTCTGCTCCATGATCTTTTGCATTTAATATTTAATATTATTGTACACAATCCATTTTCCATCTCCCGTTGTGAGTTGCTTCAGAAATGGATCGTTTTCCTTACGTTTCAACAGCAAATCATAAATTAATGCGACGAATCAAATCTCTTTCTTTGAGAACGTATGGAACCCAAATATCGTGCTTTGAAACGAAACCAAGTTGTTTCAAATGCTCAACCATGGTCGAATGTTCGATAAATTCAATCTCTCAGCAATTTCTTGTTTTGTTAAATGACGATCTGCGTCCACCAATGCCTCTATTTGGTCTTCATCAGCCTCAACTGGCCTTTCAGAACGTGGTGCATCTTTGAGGTCAAAATTCTAGAACGAAATTTCGAAAACCAATTCTGGCACTGGCGTTCAGTCAACACATCCTCTCTATACACGGCACACAATTTTCTTCTTGCTTGCGCTGCATTTTTGCCTTTACAATAATAAAAAAGCAAAATATAATGAAAATATGTCGGTTTTCCATTTTTGATGCGACGTCAAACAAAAACAACTAGACAGATTCCAAAACAACTTTTTTTAATAAAGCTCGAAACGTGCGTTGTAAAAATGTAAAATGATTTTCTGGTTTAGAATGAGGTTGACTGCTTAAAAGGGTAACTAATATCATTTATTTGAAAAAAACCGAAATTACTTTCCGAATAATTCAATAAGTTAGACGGATTTAATATAAAAATACATATTAGCGAGATAAGATGTTAATCTTTCCATTGTGGATGACTTGAATGCAAAGTGCACCATAAAGCAAACATGTTGCAATGACGATATGAACAAAGAGACAAAAACAAATAGCGCACCGATCTCACCTCATACATTAATTCCATTTGTTGCCGGGTGATATATGTGCCGTCTTCAAAAGTCATCGAACTATCGGTGGTCATCTTAGAGATGTGGCTGAGCCACACTTCGAAGAAACCGACCTTGATTAGAATCAGTTGGTCGTCCTGAGAGAGTTCACAGAATCCCGGCACTCGTTTCGCGAATTCCACCACCCTCTGAACCGATGGCGTCACTCTAACGGCGAATTGCTGCCACAACCAGATCCTCTGCGACTCGACAGTCTCCGCCGTGGAGGAGGCCGCTTCCGGGTCTTCCGGACTGGCGGGCTGCGAAGAATTACTCGCCTAATCAGCAAGATCATAAAACAAACCTGCATTGCTGCCGGCTTTAGCGAGAAAAGTCGTATCTTTTTTTCTCTTTCTTTTTCTCTCTCTACATATAGCTTACCGGTATTATCATCGGCTTCCTTACGAGCCCTCTCACCGAATCCTCCGTGAAGCCGCAATGCGCCTGATGCGCCTGCGACACTTGGAGGATTAAATCGTACACGGCCATTTTTACGTCGGCATCTGATTGATCGGCTTCAGCCACTGCTGCCGACGGTACTCGCGACACTGCGTTCTGGCTCTGGCTGTTGTTATTGTTGTTGTTTTGGCTACTGTTGTTGTTGTTGCTGGCGCTATTGTTGTTGTTGTTGTTGTTGTTGTTGTTGCTGCTGCTGTTGTTGTTATTGTTGTTGTTGTTACCAGTACCAGGTGAAGTCAGTTGCTGCATTCCTGTAGTGGTAGTGGTAGTGGTGGTCGTCGTCGTTGTACTCGTCGACATCGAGTCCTCCGGACCACGTTCTCTCGAGCGTTTCGGCACCCTGCCGTATCTGACGGCTACAAATTGGCACAAATCACCGATTATTTCACTTGAGCGATCGACAAAAGGCTAGAAAGCAAAGTGCAAGAGAGACTGGAAGAGAAGGAGAGGGAGAGGGAGAGAGAGAGAGAAAGAGAGAGAGAGAGAGAGAGAGAGAGAGAGAGAGAGAGAGAGAGAGAGAGAGAAAGAGAGATTCGTTTGACGATTTTGGCTCCTAATGAAATTTTTATTCTCACGAGTCGCTAAATTAAATCATGATTTCACACGCAGTTTCGAAAAACTTCATCGTTGTGACTTTGAAACTTTCTCCAGAGCAGAAAGTATACATGAGAACATTAACATGTACATTTCGGATTCTTATACTTGAATGCGACAGAGTGCTGCTACGCCAATTCGTCTACATGAGTTCATCAAAATTTTATTTTCGACATGCGGACGATGAGCATAGTACGACCTCTTTAGTCGAGAATGCGCATAGTAGCCGCATATCGCGCGCGTTGCAACTTCGACACTTAATTATGTACACAACTGTCCTTTGGTTTGTTTTGCTCGCTCTCTCTCTCTCTCTCTCTCTCTCTCTCTCTCTCTCTCTCTCTCTCTCTCTTTGCGTTGGGTAAAAGACTGCAGATGTGTCAGACCAGGCTGATGAAGGCGATAATAAGATGTAATATATATACACCAATTAATGATATAGTATAGATGCATCGCAATTTTTAAGGGTCAGTAAGTATACAAGTTAATGTGTATATTTTTATATGGAAGATGTTAAAAGGAGAATTAACAGAATATCTTAAAAAGAAAATTATATTACGAAACGAGGTGCATGAATATAATACCCGGTATAATACTTATTTCCATACTGAAATGCATCGAACTGTAAATGCACAAAGAGATTTATTTTGTAAAGGACTAAATCAAGAGGCACACTGTGCCTATATTATGCGAAACTGCGAGTTCAAAGGAGGTGAAATATTCATATCTCAGCAATGGCTGAACCGATCGAGGTTTTTTAGTCCCAATCGATTCGGCCTTAAAAAATAGGCAAAATGTTCTTGTGATTTTTGTGTACGTTATCTCCAAGTGGAGGTATTTTAAAATAAAGTTCGAATCACGGAAAATTTCGATTCAATAAGAAAGTAAGTAAGAAACGTCGAACGCATAAAAGTAGGGATATATGTACATCTCGCTTTTCCAACATCAGGGGCGCTACGAGAGCGCTGAAGATTCGGACAGAAGCGAATGCGAGCGAGTAAGCAAGAGATATGCTAAAATACAGTATAGGAGAAAATGTGCGAGAGAGAGAGGAGAGAGGGGAGAGAGAGAGAGAGAGAGAGAGAGAGAGAGAGAGAGAGAGAGAGAGAGAGAGAGAGAGAGAGAGAGAGAGAGAGAGAGAGAGAGCGAGCGGGAGAGAGAGAGAGCGGGAGAGAGAGAGAGCGGGAGAGAGAGAGAGCGAGAGAGAGAAGAGAGAGAGCGGGAGAGAGAGAGCGGGAGAGAGAGAGAGCGGGAGAGAGAACGGGAGAGAGAACGAGAGAGAGAACGGGAGAGAGAACGGGAGAGAGAACGGGAGAGAGAACGAGGGAGAGAACGGAAGAGAAAACGGGAGAGAGAACGGGGAAGAGAACGGGAGAGAGAACGAGAGAGAGAACGGAAGAGAGAACGGGGGAGAGAGAGAGGGGGGAGGAAGGGGGAGAGAGAGAGAGTGGGAGAGAGAGAGAGTGGGAGAGAGAGAGAGAGCGGGAGAGAGAGAGAAAGTGGGGGAGAGAGAGAGCAGGAGAGAGGACGGGAGAGGGAGAGAGGGAGAGAGAGAAAGAGAGAGAGAGAGAAAGAGAGAGAGAGAGAGAGAGAGAACGGGCGAGAGAGGAGAAAGAGAGAGGCATAAAAGGTGAGAATACTGGTATGCGTCACGGTATGTTATAACGCACGTCATTTGATTGCCGGTCAGCTGATGCTGAGCAGACGATGTCTGTGCCACCGATAAATCAATACCAGTGCTTATTGACGTTGTCCAGGGAGATCGCTCTTCAATTTTAAGGTCTGCTTGATACAATTTATAACGCAAGTGGTGCAGGTAATATGCGAATTAGATGAAGATAATTTACAAGTAAGTATAAATTTATGACATTTACATATTAATGGTGTATGTACGTGACGTATATACAATGTAACTTGTGATATATAATATAAGGTATATTATAATAAAAAAAGGCCCCAAGTACAAACACAACACGTATTGCGTTATTTTTAGAAACTTCAAATTCAAATTATTTTTTTAAGTTATATATGTGTACATAACATAAGTTTTTACAAGTAAAACTTATAACTATAAATAAAACTCTACAACACTATTCTACTGTACAAAAGAAGTGATATATTAAAACAGTAGCGCCAACTAAGAAACCTAACATATACAGGGTGCACGATTTATCTGAAGACATTGAAATATCTCGAGGACTATGCATTGGATAAAAAAAAGTGGTTAATGAAAGTTGTTAGTCTAGAAGGGGGACATCCAATGATACCAAACTCGACCTCCCACCCCACCCCCTGGGGGTGGAGGTTGGGGTCAACTTTGAAATCTTAAATGGAAACCCCCATTTTTTATTGCAGATACGGATTCTACGCCACAAAATACGTAAATTTTGTCCGAAACTTTTTTTTTGATTCGTGATAGATGGAGCTGTAATCGCAAAAAATTATATTTTCCGCAATTCTCGAGAAATGATCATTGGATTGAGAAATAAAAAATACCTGTTCAATATTTTTAAAGGACATAATAAAAGTTATTCCCCCCGATCCTCTCGGGGTAGGGTGGGTGGTAACGTTCAAATCTGCATGACGGTTGCCCAGCGCATAACTCAATAGCAGCATGGAAAGTATTAGACCGTGATTACAATGGTCGGTGATTGGCAGAGGTGGCTCGATTAATTGGCCTGCTAGGTCGCCTGATTTGACATCGCCGGATTTCTTTCTGTGGGGTTACCTAAAGATAAGGTTTATCAACAAGTCCACAACTCGTGAAACATGGTAGACGCATAAGAAACGCTTGCGCTGAAACTCCCGCAGATATGCTTCTATCCTGTGTACAGTTATTTGAAAAAAGGATCAATAAGTGTATTGAAGTTGAAGGTAAAAATTTCGAACACTTACTCTAATTAATTGAACAGTGAGAGGCAAGGGGACTCACATTAAAAAAGCACCCCGATCTGTAAGAGGCAAGGGGACTCACATTAAAAAAGCACCCGAAGGGAACACAAACTACTACGTCCTCGTCGTTGTTCCTGTGTAACGCTAAAAGTAGTTTCTCGGAAAAATCCAACGCTATCACGAATGAAAAAAATTGTTTCAATAAAAATTTCACGTACAATCTAATTCTGCAATGAAAAATGTGGGTCCCCATTTGAGATTTGAACGTTATCACCCACCCTACCCCGAGAGGATGGGGGGGGGAATAACTTTTATTATGTTCTTTAAAAATATTGAACAGGTATTTTTTATTTCTCAATCCAATGATCATTTCTGGAGAATTGCGGAAAATATAATTTTTTGCGATTACAGCGCCATCTATCACGAATCAAAAAAAGTTTCGGACAAAATTTACGTATTTTGTGGCGTAGAATCCGTGTTTGCAATAAAAAATGGGGGTTTCCATTTAAGATTTCAAAGTTGCCCCCAACCCCTACCCCCAAGGGGTGGGGTGGTAGGTCGAGTTTGGTATCATTGGATGTCCCCCTTCGAGACTAACAACTTTCATTAACCACTTGTTTTTATCCAATGCATAGTTCTCGAGATATTTCAATGTCTTCAGATAAATCGTGCACCCTGCATATGGCCTCAAAAGGATTCCTCTGAGATTAAGAGGAAAATATTATAAACACATTATTCTTAAAGTTAGAGAAATTATATGTTATATGTATAATGCAAATCATATTGATTTTAATAGAAATTTCCTCTTATACACAGATTATTTAATTTTTTTTTAAGAAGATTATTATTTATTCGTACTGTACTTTATTTTTACTGGTTATACTACTGGTCAATTTGAAAAAAATTATTATAACATATGGCGAAAAGTAATATACAGGGTGTCCCATTTTAATGTCCCACCTCAAATAACTTTTTTGTTTCTGACATGTAGAAAATAATGTTATAGACAAAAGTTGTATGGTTTTGAGGAGGGCATAAAATGATGTCATTAGTTTGACATTGAATAGTTTCTTAAAGGTCACATGAAGGTAATCTCCAATTTCTTAAATGGAACTACCTACTTCTCATTACATATTCTTCTAGCTTACGTCGAGAGTTTCCCAAAATCCTATAATTAAGTATCTTTTCGTTGAGTACTTTTTAAGTTATAAGGCAAGATCGAAAGCACAGTCCGGCCGGTCAAGGCAAATCGAAAGCACGTGTCATTGTCAGCTTAAAATTTAAAAAAATCAATTTCTTGGATTTTCGGCCCAATTTTGACTATAACAACCACGTTTCGACCCGAAATATACTCCATTACCCAAGTATACCCATTACTCAAGTATACCCCATATGCACGTTAAAGAGCATCGATATTTTCTTGGCGAATGTAATATTTTGAGCATTGTTATGAAATTTTTTAATAGTCCTGTTTGGCTGATTATTATGGCTGATTATCCGCCAAACGAAATAGTCGACATGATTCGTATTTTAGGTGAAGCTGGAAATAATCACAGTGCAGCGGAAAGGCTATATGCTGAAAGTATCTTGACAGACGTCATTCGTGTAGAAAGATAATAAGAATACTCACTGAGAGGGCACAGCAGGGTAGTTTAAAAAGGATACGACAAAAATCTGGGTCAAGTGAGGCAAATTCATTGGTTGTCTTGAGTGCCGCTGTATTGAATCCCCAAATTTCCACCAGACAAATCGAGAGACAACACGGCATATCGAAATCGACAGCAAATCGTACTTAACTCATACTTAAAATAAATAGATTCCACCCCTACCATATCCATCTAACCCAGAAATTAGAACGGAGGGATTTCAAGCGACGTTCACAATTTTGTAACTGGGCCTTAAATGAAATTCGAAGAAAGAACTACATTTTATCGCAGAGAAGCTCTTTTCTGATAAAGCCGGTAATAGAGGGGATGTTAATAGACATAATTATCATTATTACTCTGATCAAAATCCTCACTGGCAAAAGAGCCAAGAATTTCAAAGACAATGGTCTATTAACGTTTGGGCAGGTATTCTTGGAAATTATATCATAGGCCCATACTTTTTTGAACAGAATCTAAACGCGCAATACTATTTAGCATTTTTCAAAATGATCTGTCCAACCTTTTCCGACATGTCGATAATGACTTGCTCAACCGAATGTGGTTTCAGCAGGATGGAGCACCAGTTCACAGGTCCCGAAATGTTACCAATTATTTAAATAATAGATTTAATAATAGATGGATTGGAATGGGTAGTCAGACTCATGAACGGCCACCAAGATCACTTGACTTAACCCCTTTCGGTTTTTACTTTTGGGGATACGTAAAAGAAAAAAAGTTTATGCGGAAGAGCCTACAACAGCGAAAAACATGAAGGAACGTATTCGAGAGACATGTACGAACATAAACGCAGATGTCCTTAAAAAAATGCGGGATGATTCCGCCGTAGGTTGGATATTTATATCCAAGTAAATGGCGGTTTTTTCGAATACCTGCAATAATTGTACATGCCCCGATCTTGCCTTGACCGACCGGATTGTGCTTTCGATCTTGCCTTGACCGGCCGGATCGTGCTTTCGATTTTGTCTTATAACTTAAAAAGTACTTAACGAAAGGGTTAACGAAAGGGTTAACGAAAAGGTAGCTAATTATAGGATTTGGAAAGCTTTCGATGTAAGCTAGAAGAATGTGTAATGAAAAGTAGGTAGTTCCATTTAAGAAATTAAAGATGACCTTCATGTGATCTTCAAGAAACTATTTAATGTCAAACTAATGGCATCATCTTATGCCCTTCTTAAAACCATATAACTTTTGTCTGAAACATTGTTTTCTACAATCAAAAATAAAAGTTATTTGGGATGGGACATTGAAATGGGACACCCTGTATATAAGTGTACTTCTGGCTTCAGTTCTACAAGTAGGTACGAATCAAATAAGATCATCGTAACAAACAAACCAATCAGTTTTGTTATGGACTTCATAGCTATAAAGATATTCATCATAACCAATTGTACGAAACATAGTTAAAAGAAAGAATATATTATTCAACTTCTTGCAATAGATTATAAACTGTACTTGACCAAATATGAATAAATTATTTTCGTTGTATATTACAGCAACACACATACCTTTTTTAAAAAGCGTTCCAAATATTCTAAGCTACGAGTATATGGTTACTTTTTCGTTCATGTCTGGAAGTAGAAGAGCATGACTGAACAAAAAAAGCCGACACTCAAATCAATATATTCCTCTTTATGTAAGAGGGAAATTAATTGATATAAGAGGAAATCCTCTTGAAATAATAGGAAGACAGTTAGAATAATATCTAATAAATTTTCAATGAATGTTTCACTTCAATCGCTTTATCGAAAGAAGAATCCTTTTGCTGTAAAATACTTCGCTTAGAATACGAGACTATGGGAGAAATTCACTTTACAAATAGAATACTTTTTTTTGAGTGATTTATTCCTACAAGATGGAATTCTGTAGTAGACTGCGGAAATTAGAAATATTTACGGCAAACTTGAAACGATAAAAACCCCAATTATTTTTGCATCAACTTATAATATTTATATGCATGTGTGTATTGATTGCACCGTATCGTTAATTTGCGTCCGCTATCACCAGCTTCCGCCGATGCATCCGCCATTGACGACGTCGCTCGCGTCTCAACGCTATTTATTTATTTATGATGCGGTCTAATTTACAATCGGCACGAGAAGGCCAAGCGCATTGCGTAATCGCTGCAGGGAGCACGCGGCTGTTTATCATTACGCGCGAAAGAGAGAAGAGAGAGAGAGAGAGAGAGAGAGAGAGAGAGAGAGAGAGAGAGAGAGAGAGAGAGAGGAGGATTGCACACAAGGTCCTCCTGCTCTGTGTCTCGGCACACACGCAATTAAACACTTTGCTCTTTCCCCCCTCCCTCTCTCCGCCCGTCGTGACATGTTTACGCTTTCGAGGCGCTCCGAGACGCGAGTTTTTCAAACGCGACATAATTGCACGCCTGCAACCGCCCCGCTCTTTCGAATCTCCCCGCGCGGTCCGCATTCGTTTACTATTTCATTGTTTGCCCCGCAGTTTGCAATTCCTTTTTTCTAACATCGAATGCTATGAAAAATATTATGAAAATAATACTGACTAAAGTTTTTCGCTCATTAAAGTGTCGCAATGACGTTGCCAGCGTGTTCCGATACGAAGGAAACACCAGTTAGGTAAGGACAAACAATTTAGCTACAATTGTGCTCAAGCCAATTTGCTTAAAAGTCGGTTGGTCGGCCGGTCGGTTGAATCGATCGGCCGATTGCTTGTTTGTGCGTGATGAAATCGAATCGACGCCGCGTTCCGTCTGCGACGGTATCGCAATTTTTGAAACGGCGGAATGTTCGAATGGCACGCGAACTTTTCCGCTATTATCTTCAGCTCCCTTATCAGCCGAGGCTATAACAAGCGCTCTTAATTCGATGACTCACGGCGCGGCTATAATTACGTGTACTTTCTCATTCACTGATTTCATTCGTACAAATTCGTCGGTTGTATTCGCGAGAAGAGATAAGAGTATGACTCGTCGCGAAGGAGAGAGAAAAAAAGAAAGAAAGAGGGAGAAACAAAAGGAAAGAGATCTGTTGTTTTTTTGCGTATTAGATATTGCGATCGAGCGCGATCGCGTCGAAATTGGAAATCGATGACGTAAGGGGCAACATTTGAAAATCATGAGGCAGCTCACACCCTGGTCTTCCTCCCGTGAGACAATCTCACCCTTCCTCCCGCCTCTAATCCTACTCCCCCATCCTGTGTTATTTTTCTGCCTTCCTCCTCCTCTCTTTCTCTCTCTCTCTCTCTCTCTCTCTCTCTCTCTCTCACCCTTTCTCTCTCTCTCTCTCACCCTCTCTTTCCTCCGCTCCTTTCTAACTGTCATCGTTCCGCGAGGTGGTCGACAACGATCGTACTTGCACCTTTCTCACAGCGCGACGCAGGTTTAGTCATCCCTTCTTTCCACGTCCCTTTCACTCGTGCGAACGAGCGAGAGGGACGGTGAATCGACAGGAAAGAGAGGCCACCGCGAAAGGCGAAGCAGCGAGAAACGTCAGGAGAGAAAGAGAGAGAAAGAGAGAGAGAGAGAGAGAAGGAGAGTGAAAGAGACAGATATAGCCGACGACGACGACGATGTGGTGGACGTCGGCCAAGGAGGAAGGAGAAAGAGAACACGAAGCGAGAAGTAGAAAGACCGAGATCCAGTTTGAACGTGTTAGTTAGATCCTCTCGTTGGTCCCGCGCATTTCGAGATGGGATTCGTTTTATTGCGAATCCGGTTTGCTTCCCGTGCAAGAGAGAGAGAGAGATAGAGAGAGAGAGAGAGAGAGAGAGAGAGAGAGAGAGAGAGAGAGAGAGAGAGAGAGAGGGAGAGAGAGAGAGAGAGAGAGCGCGAGCGAAGAGGGCTAGAAAGCCGGACACGAAGGGAGAAGGGCGAGAAGGAAGAGAGGGAGAGTCACGGGAAAAGGAAAGGGCCCCATCGAGCCGGTATGTGTGTGTGTGTGTGTATATGTGGGGGGATGGATCCTTCTTTCTTTCGTTCCGCCAACACCGCGTCCCTCCCTCCTGCTGCCCTCGCGGCCGCCCTTTCTCCTCTTGTTCTACTAGTCGTTGCTGCACGTTGCTGTACCCGTCGTCGCTGTTCTTTCCACCGCCGCCGCCGCCGCCGCCACCGCCGCCGCTGCTGCTACCGGCTGTCGGCCGCTTGCTCGTCGCAGTCGAGGACTAGTGGTGGTGCGGTTGATGGAGGTGACGAAGGTGGAGGTGGTGCCCCGTTTCAAGGTTGCCACCTCACATTCACAAGTCGTGCGCGCGTTAGACGCGTTCAGCTAGCCGTGCCCCTTGTGTCTCTCTTTTTTCCCCTCTCCTCCTCGCCACCCCCTTCCACTCTCACTCTCTCTCTCTCTCTCTCTCTCTCTCTCTCTCTCTCTCTCTCTCTCTCTCTCTCTCCTTCATACACATATGTGATACACATATGCGACGTGCAACGATTGACAATTTGGACGAGAATACCGCTGGATCCCCGCCGCGCAGAAGGGGAGCAGAACAAACTCGCATTCGGATCGATTTCAAATGACTGCGTAATATTGCGTTCCAAAGGAATAAGAAATAATGCATAAAAAAGAAAGCCCACGTGCTTGACGAAAATCGCAAGTGTATCGGATACGCCCGGCGGTAATTTGTAATTAGTCGTGTGTCGCTGTTAATTCCTCTCCGCGGTGAGATTTTGATCAAAGTGGGGGTTATAATCGAGTGAGGCAAAATTGATCTCGAAGCAAATTGCAAATTGTCGCGGGAATTGTCACCGAGCGACAATCGTCCGTGTCTCTCGTACGCTCCGTCGCGCTCGAGATTGCGACGATTAAGCCTTGCTTTCGTGGCCGAAGTATTGCGAAAGCGCCACTGCGGAAATACGACGACGTGGATTATGCCGCTCGGCGTAACGTTTACGATCGGTTTCATTAGACGCGCGCGCGACTGGCGCGAGAGAGGAGAGAGGCACGCACGATCTCTCGGGTCCGCGCGTATCGGATCGATAAGCCGGCCCCGGCAGGAGCCGGCCGGAGAAGAGACGGCAGGATTCTCGGGCAAGCGGGAGCGCGAGGCTTTTTGTCGCGCGCGGCCTTTAATGAAAGGCGGTAACACCTCTTCGCGGAAAGATACGAGCGGATTCTAAAATAGGAACGAGGTTGCACACAAGCGTGTGCGCGCGTCATTAACATCGATAGATTCTTATTTACGCGCTGCGCGCTGCGGGAAACAGCGCTGCTGGATTCGGCGACGTTTCCGCGAGGTCGGAGTGCGCCGTAATTAAAATCCGAGTCTCGAGCCTAGGGATGCAACGATAAATCGATAATATCGAAATATCGATATCGATCGAGAGACAAATATCGAATATTTATCGATATTTTTTGTCTCCGATGAAATCGATATATCGATATGAATTTTACTGATTTTCGTATTTTTCAATTGCAGCTCTGCGGCGCGATTCTTTAACTCGTTATTGGAGTTAACGACACTTTCGTTATCGTTGCGCAGCTTTTGTATACCGTAGAAAAGCTGCGCAACGATAACGAAACTGTCGTTAACTCCAATAACGGGTTAAAGAATGGCATCACTGGGGGCCTATTACGGTTCTACGACCGAGATGAAAATTACAAAAGTGAGTGAATTCACTAGAATATATATAATATCATGTAATTGCTCGATGTCTAGTAAATTCACTCACTTTTATAATTTCCAGCTCAATCGTTGAACCGTAATAGATCTCCTGCTCCATGTATGTGGTGATCTCCGGCAAATGACTGCGGTTCATTATATATTTTCTAATAAGAATACGACAATAAATTATATAAAGATAAAAATTTTTTAAAGAACTTTTCAAATTTTTCGTCCATACCTGTTATATGCGTAACCCCATATGTGTACATTTTTTTATGAAAATATCGATATAAATATCGATATTTTTCAAAATTATCGATATTATCGTTATCGATGGTTCTGAATGACGATCAAAATCGTTATCGATATTTTGAGAAATCGTTGCATGCCCACTCGAGCTGCAACGCTGAGCGACCATGTCGGCTGCTTCGGCGAGTTTGCAGAGATTTATGCGAAGAATTCAAAATCGGCGCTCTCTTACAGTCGGATATTATTTTATTTCTCCGTTTGCTCTTTAACTCTTTGTTGCACGTTTTTTTCTAATAAATATAATTTTGTGAAACTTATTACTTGGGGGTTTTTACGGTCGCTGAATAGAAATCCGGTGTAAAAAATACGAAATTCAAAATGACGGATCCAATATGGCGGACGAAATTTTCAAAATCAGCCGAACTCACTTGAAATTTGTTATTGAGGGTTTTCGAGGTTGTTAATTACAAATTCGATTATCGAAAATTCGAAATGCCAGAGTTACGACGGATATATACGGGGCAAGGTTTGATTGACACTAGTCAGATTGCCCGGTTCTCAAGTCTGCTTGTTTTATTTCTATAATTATGTTCGCCGTGTGAGATCCGTCATTTTGAATTAAGTATTTCTCATACCGGATTCGTATTCAGCGACTTTAAAAACCCCCGAGTAACAAGTTTCAAGCGAATTCGACTGATGTTGAAAATTCCGTCCGCCATATTGGGTTTGCTATTATGAATTTTGTATTTTTCACACAGGATTTGTATTCAGCGATCCCGAAAACCCTCAGATAATGATTTTGAAGCGTACGTTATTATTTAAAATTTCATGTAAACGAATTTATTCTCTAAAAACGAGTTTTGTTCAGTATATGCTTATTAATAACAAATTACTTATTTGAATTGAAATTATTGTAAAAGTTGATATATTAGTTAGAGTAACATTTTAGTAATCCAACAATACCAAATATGCTAAAAAAATATGTGAAAAATTTTAATTATTGGAAAAACTAACTTGTATGATAGATGGCATCCTGGGAGGGCCATTATGCAGCAAAGGGTTAAACAACGGCTATCTTATATAGAATGTCCGGGATTTTTTGCAAACCAAAAATCATGAAGATTAATCAAATAAAATTAAGAAGAAACGTCTAATACCATTTTGCAAACAAGTGTGCAAATCTTCAAGTTATCAGTTAAAAAAAACCTCTGATATGTGATTTTTCTTCTCAATTTGATGTGATAAATCTTCACAACTTTTCGTTTTCAAAAGATCCCGGATATCCTGTATACATTGTTATTATTATTGCCGAATAAAGTTGAATGCCGATCTATAAAAGTATCGATTTGGAATTTCTCGTGGAAATTCCTAGCGGAACTTATCGTGCAATCCAATCATTTCATTCGGAAGTGTCTGGTATCTCGCGGAAGAAAGTTACCCGCTGAGTAAAACAGCGAGAGCCTCTTCGCGTTTCTCTCTCTCTCTCTCTCTCTCTCTCTCTCTCCCTCTCTCGCTCTACGATCAGTTCTTATTAAATTCCTAGCCTCCAACTTCAGCCGAAGGAACTCGAAGGAGTCACAATCGTTTCGCGCGGGAAAGATAATCCGACCTCGTTGCGGTTGCGCTCTCGTGAAATGGAAAGATACGGCCGTCCAGGCCGGAGAGCATGCCTGAGTCGCTCGTGCAATCGTTACAAGATGGGCGCATTTATTTATGCACATATTTGCGCGGTTTGCAAAATACCAGCACGCCGAGCTCGTTCGCCGCGCGAGCGTGTAGAGCGGTATTAAGTCGACAAATGCGTCTCTTTGTACGGCTCTTTCGCGGCGGCGCACGCACGTTCGGTAGGCAATCAGCCGCAGGTTGGCAGCAAAAATTAGCGAAAAAGCGCGAAACTTTTCGCGATGTAGCGCGAGAGGAGGTTTACTCAATGCGACTCCGACGCACGGAGCTTTGGCCGATTATACGCCGGAGTGTGCCATTCGCGACGAAGAAGATTGTTAGCGTTCGCGGATTACGTAACGACGATTAAACGCGTGAAAAAAGCCTGTTGGAGCGGTCAAGTGCAAGAAATTATTTCGCGTTCCGAGATGCACGTGAGAGTCGTCGACGTTGACAGAAGCGCGACTTCTTCAACCTTTTTGTTTCTTTCGTTCTGACCCAGGGCCGGTTGTTGCAACTTCTTGGTAAATTAACTGACAGTTGAATCATATGTTTGTCTTTGTTTCTCCTTCAACTTCGGGACAAAGACAGACATATGATTTAATTATCAATTAACTTACCAAGGAATTGAAACAACCTACCCACAGTGGCATTGCCTGGTGGTCTCGCGTTTGATTAAGGGGGGAATCCCGTCCGTAGGGTAAAATAATTGATAATTTTTTTCTTACGTTTTCTGAAAATACATATTGTCAAGAATTCATTCTAAAATCCGTATCGAAAAATTACGGAATCAGAAAATTACAGAAGTTACAACCTATTCGAAACGGCACACGAGTCAAAATCAGAGCGCTCATTGGGTCTCTCAAAGTTTCGTCATACAATTGCTGTAGAAACAATCCTACGATACTCTTGGAATGTAAAAAAGAGTTTCATGAAGTGAAGGAGGAGAATTCATTATATGGACCTGAAATTGCCGATTAGGCTGAAACTTATCTGAAGAAACTTATGTGAGTATTAGAAATATGATTGAATATGAGTACATGAAACTTTAAATGTGTCTTTTTCGAAATGACTTTGTTTTAACTGGTTCCCACAATTTGAGACAAACTAATGAACCGATCGACTTCAGCATGTAGTTACACATTCGAAACATGTCTCTTTATTGTGTGAATTGGCGAAATTAAAAAAATATTAATTTTTCATATTTATTTTTAACGTAAAACTGTCGACTTTTATGGCGATTTTCCAAATATAATTTTTAAATGCCTTAAAATTATTGAGAAAGTAGTTTGTTTTTATTCCCTTAGTTCAGACGATAACGGCAAGTTCGTAGATTAATTATCTTACTTGCGTTTTTGTCGTATCTCGAGATTTTATGGGAGCCGTGAAACGGTGCGCGCCTAAACACGTCACGTTATTTTTTATGTATCTGCTACATTATTATTCATATAACACTATAAAAATTCATTCTTATAAGTTAAATATATATTATTATTACTACCAAATTTGAAATCAATCGTCTGCTTAGTTTCTGAAGAAAGATTCGTGAAAATAGCCTATTTTTTTGGCCTACAGACAGAATTCCCTCCTTAAGGGGGCTGGAGGGTCAGATTACTGAAAAATCGTGCTTGTTTTTGATAATGATTTTGTGACGAACTGAATAAATGTGCAAGAATGAAAATTTTATATATACTTATATAACATATGAAGAGTAGAAAAATTTTGTTTTTAAACAAATACTCATATAAATATACGTCCACTTAAATTTTAAACGCGTTTTTCTCGAAATTTTATTGTTCAACTTCAACTTTTTGCAGTGATTTCTTCGAAACTGAGCTTCGTATCGATTTGAAATTTTAAAGCAATAATATTTGTTCATGTGGCTATCAGGTGAACCATGAACAATTCCTTCAAAATATTTCATTTCGAGATATTAATTTTTTTATTGTAAAAGAACAGAAAAATTTGAATTTTTTCCTAATAATAGCTGCCATTTTGTTAATTTTGATCGATTTTTTTTTCTAGTGGTTCATCGGATAATGATAAGATTCTCCTCAAGATTTCTAGCTAAAATTCACTCTGATCGGAGATCATCGAGAGCCGAGGTATTACTGCAAAAATGATAACTTGAAAAAAAAAGGAGAATATAATATGTCAGTTATATATATATCGTATATTTATACGAGTATGTTGTTAATAAACAAATTTTTTCTACCCTTTGTATGTTGTATAATTATATCAAAAATTTTCATTCTTGCACATTTATTCAGTTCGTCACAAAATATTCACAAAAACAAGCACGATTTTTCAGCAATCTGACCCTCCAGTCCCCTTAACTCGCCAACGACTCGCTTTCCGTTCGCCTGAACTCTCGGGCGCTCTTCTGCGCTCTCCTTCCCGCGACCCGCGACCCTCCACCCTCGATAAAAGTTCTCACAGAGCGAGCGCCTGAAATCCGCGACGCGTAATTTTCAACTTTTATACGCCAATAATTTTCTTTTCTCCGGCCAATTAAACATCATCACGCCTCCTTCGCTTAGGAATTTCCTCACGCCCCAGTTTGGAGGCTCAGACAATTGGAAACGTGTGAAACGCCGGTTACGCAAGCCGCCGTCGTTATGCGGCTTTATTGGTGGAAGAGGAAGAGATGTCGCGCATATGCAACGCGCGCGCGTCGCTCTTGTCGCGCGGACCCGTTCTCTCGTTCTGCCGCCGACAAGGAGACTCTTATCTGCGCTGGTCGTGCATTTAGAAAGAATTTCATTACCTCGCACTCCCTTTCCATGAAATTCGCACGGCGACATTGCGAATAATCTATCGTACTCTCGGCCGACGGTGAGTTGTCCGACGACGACGATGTAATTTCAGAGCTGTCTTTGTCGTCAAATCGTCGTCGATCGCTCGACCGTCGCACGCATTCTCCCGTCGATGAGACAAAACGCTCCTGTGCTGTCATCGTGGGGAACCGAGTGACAGAGTCGACGACAGAGTGCAATAATGGCTTCTGGGCTGATGTCATGCAACCTTCTACGTTGCACACACACTGCTTTGTAGAGCACGCATGTGTTCGCGAACGCGAGTTTACTCGCATCGTTGGAAGAAATCGAAGAAATCGAAGTAATCGAAGAAATCGAAGAAATCGAAGAACTTTATATGGACGAATGACCGTTCCTGAAGAAGGATTTCGACGAACTGATGATAGAGAGTGTCTGAGAGGTCGCAGGTAACTGCAAAGATTCCCCATGGTATATTTGGTATACTAAAGTATACCTAGTCTAAAGAATGTTGAACTTACTATGGCCGTACAGCCCCGACATCCCTGGCAATCTCGAACAACGCGTATGTCGAAGAAATAAGGAACAAGTATATACCTGGAAGCCGCTACCCGAGTGTATTAATATTAAGGTTATAACGAATATAATAATTATTATTTTTAACTGTAAAACTGTCGATTTTTCAAATATAATTTTTAAATGCTTCAAAATTATTGAAAAAGTAGTTTGCTTTTATCTCCCTAGTTAAAGTGAATATTTCGCATATGCGAAAGCGAGACTTTCGCATCATTTTAGACTCTCGCTTTCGCTTTCGCTTTCGCTATCGCAACTAATTGTGCGAAAGTTTTAGCGAAAGATTTGGTCCAGCCCGCGGGATTCGCAGCTTTGTTAGGGACACACTGGATAGCGGGGGGAGTGCAGTTTATGTTTCACTCATTGATTTGCCGGTCTAGAGACACTTCAGACCTTAGAGCTTAAACGTGTTTATTGAAAACAAATGAGTGCAAGTAAACTTCTGTGTGATATAAATTATAATAATTAAATAACTAAGTGTGAAAAGTGATAAGTGATAATAATCACGATGAAACCAAAATCCAGTTTTATTTGATGTTTTTATAATAAAGCGGGAATGGAATTTAAGATGTTACGATATAAAATATCTATAAGACGACTTAAAGACGTCTTATGTCCTGATTTTGGACAGTGTTGTCTGGGAAGTTACTAATTTACACATTTGCAGTCATCCTTCAGTGGAAAGAAATAAGATCTTTCGCTTTCGCTTTCGTTATAACTCATCCTTTTCTTGCCTTCTCCTTTGTTTCCTCCTTTGTTCCATCTCTCAACGGATCTGACTGTCAGTCGACCTGACTGACCGACTGGTACGCAAAATAGCATTACAATTAATTAATAAATGACTAATTAATGTCCACACGCGCGATAACACTTATTTCATTATTCAGCGATTTATCAGCGAAAATCGCCTCTCAGCTGCGATGCGTGAGACTAGACTATGATGAAAAAAAGGGGGAGAAGAAGTACGTCCGTATGCGAGGATGCGACAGAGGGAGAAGAAAAGATTTTTTCCCGATAAAGACAGCTGGGAATAAGATGAATTAATTATACCGCTGAAGAGCAAGTGTCCTTGTATCGACGTGATTCGGTGAAAGGCGCATCGGAGTTTTCGCGAGACGCTCGGAGCGCGCGGATCATGAGGGATCTGCGCGCCGGCGGGGTGCGATAAGGCCTCTTTTCCACGTACATGGCCAGATAACAGGCGACTCGTGCCGACTTTCCAGAGAAGAATACGTGCGTGTGCACGCACTTTGCGCGCGCGCGAGGAAGAAAATACGCGAAAGAAACGACACGCGCGCGCGCGCGCGCGCGCGAGCGCGAGCGCGAGCTCGAGCGCGATTGCGTAAGAGGCCGTCTTTCTGAAACGACAGTTCGCGCGCCGCCGCGGCGATGGAAACGGTTAGAGAACAGCGTTGACGCAATCGCAGCATCGCGCGGCCGGGGAGTGCATCGATGCGCGTCTAACGTAAGTGAGACGAGGACGGGAAGAGGTGGCAGGGCGAAAACAAATGTCGACACTCGTCGACGGTATATCGTCGCAATTATCGGGATTACATGTGTATACGCGCGGAGTCAAATTGTCTTCTGATTTTTCTTGTTTGCTCGCACAGGCGTCATTAGAGAATATATATGATAACGCGAGCGCGACGGGCTGAGGGGGACGAAGGGTAATTGAATACGCGACGGATATGCCGCGTCTATGAGAGGGCACAGTCGCACCCGCACACGCGTACGCGCGTGCAATCTTGATAGATATGGAACGTGTATGCGATAAGAATCAGGAGTGATCGGCGAAATAGGATTCAATTATGCGGCGGCCGTTCGTAACCGGCCGGATTCTCACAATTCTCGAGGCTGCGTCACGCTCATTCACGGTCACTCGCAAGTCATATCGCTCTGCACGTGTCTGCTTTCTTCTCCCCTTGTGCTTTCTTGATATCATATCGCTCAAACGCGATGCGATTGCGGCCGCGCTTTTATGACGCGCTTTTTTTTTCTATCTGCACGCCTACTTGCGTTGCACGCAACCGCGATAGGAAATACAAGTTGTGTCGCATCTATCTTCCTTGTTTTCACCGTTCGAGTTTTCCTTTTCTACTCCTTTTTTTTTTCTTTTCTTCGCATTTCCCGGAACCGCGTTTGAGGAAACCGCGCGCGACATGTGCGTGTAACGCGATTAAAATAATATATCCCATCGCGTCAAGAGTAACCTCCGTAAATAATGAAGAAAGTACAAAACGTTAATGAATTATTAACGAAACATTGAGAAATGAAGTGAAAACTCGAAGCGAGGATAAACATTTTGCTCAAGACGTCGGATAATTTGGTCTGTAAAAAGTATTTCGCACAACTACTCCCTCAATTTTGCTCTTCGGCGGGGGCTTGTTGGAAAGCTGTAAGCGGAGAGAGCACACGTATTTCCCTTATTTTCAGCCGCTCTACTACGATGTGTATGGGACCCATCGAAATCGACAATGGCGCGCGCGTTTCCAATGTTCTCGAGTCTCTTTTCGCCGAGTCTCTTCGCGCGCGCCACGACGATGGCACGACGTCGTCGATTGCGTCCAGATAAAGAGATATTTACTTAGCGCGACGACGCGATGTTGTAACACCGCCGCGCGACACGTGGATACAACTCACTATCAATTATTGTTGTAAAACGCGTGGAGCGAATACTCGAGATTAGAGAGAATTGCTTTCCCAATTAGAGCCGCCGCGATCGCCGATCGCGCGCTAATTGTTGATATTTTGAGACCGGCTGCAGCGCGCGATAAACGGCTAATACGATAAAATCGACCGCGCAATCTTCGGTTACCTTGACTGACACGCGATTAAAGCGGCCGTTTGTGCGATTAAACGCGCGCTCTTGTATGCACTCGCGCACGCACGCACGCACGCACGCACGCACGCACGCACGCACGCGCGCGTATCTTCCCGTCTTTTTCTAGGAGATCCTGATCTTTCACCCGGTTTCGAACGCAACGGACACGGCGTTGCATTCGCATTACGGATCATTATGTAATGCCGCGGCGCGTTATGCGAACGTTTCACACTCGACGACTTACACCACTGCGCTCTCAAGGTCCTCGCATTATTATTTGCCCGGCGCGTTAACGCGGCCCGGTACGGTCCAGGGGCGTGACACGCGGAGAAAATGTCTTGAGCGAGTGAGCGGCTGTGTGTGATAAGACACTTCTCTCCAGCGCACGTGGGCATTATTTAAATAACGAGAGAGAGAGAGAGAGAGAGAGAGAGAGAGAGAGAGAGAGAGAGAGAGAGAGAGAGAGAGAGAGAGAGAGATTGAGTCGATTTCGAAAGCGTCGGTCGACGCGTCCCTGAAACGAGATCAGTTTTGGGTACGGACGGACGGCTGACCGTTAACCCTAAACTGGAGCAAACGTGAGTTTTCAACATTCTATTTCCAATATGGCAGCTCTCAAGCGACATAACAACATGTTATGCACGCTGAGAGCCGACGGAACGGTGCCTGACGTTACATGTTGACAATTTTTCTCTTCAACGGGGTGAGACACGGAAAAATGCAAATTTTCACGGACGCCTTTAAATCGCCTGTGTATCGTGCAATGGAATGGAAGAAAAGGATGCTGAATTCGGAAAGGCAAGGATTACAGTTGAAGGAATCAGGTATATGCCCTAGAAACAGACGGAGGTAGCATCTTAGGATCTCGAGAGACATCTTTTGCGTATCGGTACTGCAGGATTATAAATAACGGTGGCGCCGAAAGTTTCGAACGAATATTGCGAATATCTGGACGTAGAAAGGAGGTTTTGCAGAGACGATTATTGTTACTGCATTCTTCCGGCGAAAGAGTTTCTTTCTTGCTTCTTGCGGGTAAACTTCGTTACGCGCATCAGGAGACTTAGAACGTAAAGTGTTACGTTTAAACGTAACGTAACGTAAAATGTTAACACGCTCTGTGAAAATAGAACGTACCCTTTCCCTTTCTCAACCAATTCTCCGACTTCCAGACAGAAGCGACCTGTCTGCGTGCTCCAAATAAAACCAATGGGACACGAGTAGAGTGCGTTAAAAACAAAGGATTGGTTAGACGCAGGTCCCTATAAAGCTACATCTCCTTCCGCAACAACGCGACGCGATATACCTCCGCTTTAAATTTTTGCGAAGGTTCTTGAGCCGCGTTGTGTCTTTGGAGCTTGCCAACCCTTAAGCTTTACCTCGTTCGCGCTTCCAAAAGGGAATTTTCCCGGCTCTTGGAAATTATGCGCAGCATATTTATGTTAAGGCAAAAGTTGAGAACTTACAGGACGGGTGAAATAACGTGGACTTCCCGGGCGAGCGCAGTGTTGAGTTTGTAAATCCCCGCGAGAGAGAAATGCAGCGAGAGGTTCACAAAATCTCGGTAACAAATCCGCAAAGGAAGCGGCGTCGATCTGGAAGCCAGATCGAGGGCATTTTTCCACACTCGCAGATTCGCAAATAAAGGAAAGAAATGTTTGAAACTTTCTGGTTATAGTTATGATGTTTCCACGCTTCACTCGTCGATACGGTCGATCACTCGCGCGCGTTCAAAAGACCTTCCTCGCGTTTTCCCTTTGAACCGTCTCGATTCACACAAATTTTGCGGTTTCGCGTTGCGATCCGAAATTCGTATCCGCGTGTAACCGAGCGTCGTCGACTTGTCAGTCGACCGTTGTTTCGCCGCTTTCCTCCGCAAGATCGCACGAAGAAAAGCATTCACGCGCGAGCAGAATCCATCGTTAACTCGGCGACTTTTACGGATCAGCGGAAAACTATTAGGAAATGGGAGGCGCGATTTTCTCGACTTTCGAGAGGCAGTCTCTTTTCAGCTTGACCTAACGCTTGCTCGCATTACTTCCAACATTCCGATGACCAATATCATCTGACCCGGACGTCAGGCTATTGGTCCTCAGGCATAAAGAGATCTCCGAAGGAATCGCCACACAACGTACGGCGCGAACGATGGCGAACTAAAATCCCAGCCGACAGACCGGTTGAATACGTTTTGGGCGGCGCATTTTCGGCCAAGAGACACAAAAGCTCCAGTGACCCACTATAAAACACCCCCGGTCTCCCGATGGCGACCGCGGCGGAGAAATCGTGGTGTATGCTGAAATTTCGGGGTAATAAATTGTGGGACCTCTTCGCCTCTTATTTCCCGTGAATGCTTTTTTTAAGTATAACAAAACGATATCTCGCCCACTGCTCGTGTTGAAACGTCCGACCCGCACGAAACACTACGAGCGCGTTCATCATCGCAGTCTCACAACTCTCTCTCTCTCTCTCTCTCTCTACTCCTCTGGATAACTGAAAAAAAATATTTATAAGGGAAACATAAGACGTAATCGTAAATATACGCAAATAGACGCCCTACGACGCCCTCTTCGCGCCGACTGGCTACGGTAATCTGAAGATAAACGCGCGAGAACCTCATGGTTCTCGCCATTATCTCAACGTGGTTAACACTAATTTAGAGGCGACCATTTTACACAGATAAGAATCGTTCGAGAAAAATGCTCGATATCCCGCTATATACGACTATCCGCGAGAAATGGATAATCTCTTGTTATTACCGATGAAATAGAGACGTCGAGAGAAGCCCGGAACAGAGAAAGAGGACACGCGGAGGAGAGAAAGAGAGGGAGAGAGAGAGAGAGAGAGAGAGAGAGAAGAAGGGAGGGAGGGAGGGAGGGAGAGAGAGGGAGAGTGAGATCGCGCGAGGACACGGTTAGAGTCCCAGGGGGACAGCGGGGCCCGGCGCGTAGCGACGAAGCGAGGGGGCGGGCGAGGGGGGCGAGCGGGGAAATGGGGAAGGGGGCGGGGGCACGATACGAACCAAAGGCGTGCGCGTACGCCTCTGATAAGGTCTTATCGTGTGAAAGCACCGTGGCCTACTTACACTCGGTGCGCACTTACACGCGTCACTAACGCTCGAGCGAGCATTCATGCACGCACGTACGCACGCACGCACGCACGCAGCGCGATCGGCATGTGCACACACGCGTTGCACGATTCGCCGCGCTCGTGCGCAAGGGCGCATGAGAGAGGCGCACGGGAGCACCGCAACGAGCGCGCTTGCGCGCGCGAGCCGATGAGAATTTTCCTTCACGGTTTTTCCTTCTTTTTCCGCCGTCTCTCTCTCTCTCTCTCTCTCTCTCTCTCTCTCTCTCTCTCTCTCTCTCTCTCTCTCTCTCTTCCCCCTCTTTCTTCCTCTCGCTCTCTCGCTCCCCTCCCCCCCCCCTCTCTCTCTCTCTCTCACTGGCCGCACTTGCGAAGGCATCCTGTAAATGTTGTTTTGTCGACGGCTTCAAAGTGCATCTGTGGCGACAAGAGGCGGAGAGAGGCCGTCATCGCCGAAGGCTGGAAAACCGCTCGGCGCGCGCCGCGCGTAAAGTCGAGGAAAAAATAGCGCTGATTATAGTTTCGTGCAGTAACGTATTGTTACATTGTAATGAGAACACACGCGGCTCCGCCCCCCCCCCCTCCCCCGCCGAGCGTAAGCGAGCGTAGTCTTCATTATGCGCGGATGCGCGTGCAATCGCGTGTCGGCGAGAACGAGAGAAGCGCCGAACATATAAAATGTAAACTGCAAGGATAATTCTCCGCGAAAACCGCTAACCGAGGGTTATACCGGGAAATAAGTTGTGGAATTGCGAAAGGGACGCGCGGGGTGTAAGTGCGGACTCTATCGCGGCAATAATCAGAAAAGAAAGCACGCTTGAATCTATTTCGAGGAATGGGAACGCGAATAGAGCGTTACGTAACGGCCGAGGAAAGTGAGCTGCACATTTTAACGCTAAAGAGCAGAAGGATGTGTGATTGTGTCGCATCACGCGCGCGCGTGTACGATGCTTGAAAACATTTCGAGAGATGTCACCTTCGTTGTTTCCGCTTTATTTTTCTTTTTCTTTTTCAGGTGGAACGATGGCGGAGCTCCGGCGCACTTATGGAGTAACGTTTATACGTTACATTAAGTGACGATAAGAAACACGCGAGCGGGATTTACGGTAATTTCATTATTTGTTTTTTACATTGTAAATGTGCGAACTTTAAGCGTATGGAAGGAATGCTTTATGACAACTTGCGTCACGAAGAATGCGCAAATATTCGTGATATTATAAATCTCGAGGTAAATACACGCATGAGCGCGACGCGGAGAGCGCGGGTATTTTCTTTTTTTCTTATGTTTCCTTACGCTTTGCCTTCAAATTTCCAAAACTGTGCAATCAATTCTTTATTTAGATGATTATATATGTCTCATTTATTTGTATTACAAAGTACCTCATTTATTTACTCCCATCTACGAGATAATAAAAAAATATATAAGATGCGCGTCTCTCATGTAACAGCTGTGTGTTTTTTCAACAAATAAAGACGACTCGTTAACAGATGAAATATTCGCGTCGTAGAGATCCACTTTGCCGTCATATCTGCCTACGTGGATTAATCATTCCGTGGATAATCGTATCTCGAGTGACTCGAGCGTGGCAAGTTTTCCAGAGTCGTGGAGTCTAAGACAAGGCGTCGCTGTGTTGCTGCTGTGCGTATCGCTGCTGTGCGTAAGCCTGCTCGATCGATCGCGCCGGTAGTGACAAACGTAAAAAAAACATCGAAACACCGGGCGACCCGCGGCGCCTAGAGCAATTGCACACACGTGCACCGCACATCTGTAGCGTACATACACGGTGATCGTTGCGAAATTGGGTCGTTCAGAAATTGAAACGCCTGCGTAGGTAACGCCAGAAGTTTCGCTGATAAGAGCAGCAAGAGGAAGGGTCATACGGATGCTTATCACCCTCGAGCATCGGCCAGACGCCGCGATACGGCTCATTTTCTTCGTGACGCCACGAACGAGAGAGAGAGAGAGAGAGAGAGAGAGAAAATCAGATTATAGTCGTTGTTATTAAAATCTGATTATAAATTAGGTCGTTGACAGCTCGAACCCTTCGAAACATTCTCCGTTTGTCGCTTTCCTTGCGCCATGATAAAATACTTTCGATAACGTCGTTGGGCCGTGTGGAGCGATAGGATTAAGATTAAGGGAGGATTAAGTCGTATCTAATTGATGAGGACCGATAATATGTAATAATAATTGTATATTTTGCTGATAACATGATGATAATTCTATGTTAGATCTAGATACAACGTATCTCTAGATCTAACATAGAGTTCACTTGGACACCTGTAAAGATATTGCATAGGGTCGCTGTGTGACATGCCTTTGGCATAACCTCGTCACAGGGAGAAATTTTTTAAAATTACAAGGAAATGGCTTCCCGAGCAAAAATTTGTGAGGGCCATCCTCATGAAGCATAAAGCCTTGATAAGGCTGAAAACAGGATGTCCTAAAAATTAATATCACGTTAAGCCTTCATTTTTTAGGGATACCTTAGATTTTACGAAATAAGGCTTTGATAAAGGAAAGTGTCTTTGAAGGATTTAGTATTCAGTACTTTAGATAAGGCTTTGATAGGAAAAGCTGAGGGGGGTCTTTGAAGGATTTATCAGAGGTGTTATAGATTTAATAAATAAGGCTTTGACGGAGAGAAAACTGATAAGGGAGAATCTTAGAAGAATCTTTTAGAGATGCCTTTACGAAATAATTAACATGGAGAACTAATGTGAGCCGTAGAAGGATGCTTTTAAGGATGCTTTTGATATACAAAATCAAGTTTTGTTATAGAAGATTAATACGATTTGAAGCGTGTAATAAAATTGTCATAGTTTATTTTAATAGGAACGTTCTATCTGGTTCTTTTAAAGATTTTTTAATTATACCGCAATTAAAAATAAATTTTATTAGTTTTATTAGTTGCCATATTCATTAGTTTTTTCCAAGGATTTTTCTAGTACACATGTGTATTGTTTTCGTTTTGAAATGCAGCAAACTTTAATAAAAACAGTAATAGGATTTTTATGTGTAAAAAATGCTATATTTTATTGTAAAGTATACTATATTTTCAAAATAAAAAATTCTTGCTATATACTAACAAGGTTATAAAGATACAAAGAAATTACAATCTAAATGTCTTGGAATGAAAAGAACGAATATTTTTACTCAAGCAATAATAAAAATATTTCCTTATAAGACCCTTATCGGAGTCTTATTAATTTTTCTACTTGGGTTAATTTTTAAGTGATACCAATGTACCATCCATTATTCGCGTGATGAGATTTCCTACTCAGTGCTGAACATTTATCCGCACTGGACTATCCGTTACCACTTTGTCGCCATATTTGAATTACACGAGAACAATTAAACGTCATTATCTGAACGTACATGTCGGTACTTCTGAAAAAGTTAAGAAAGTGTTGTAAGAAACGTTATGCTTAATTACTTAGAAAATGCGTCAAATGTTTTTATAACGGAATTAAAGTTCCGTCGCCCTTTAAACCCGACGATAACATTAACAATTACACGTAGATTAATCAATCTTATCACATATTTTGACTTTTGACACATTCGTCATATTTACCAGTGGAATAATCACGCGACATGTTGCCTAATTATATACATATATATATATATATATATATATTATCTCATATATTATCTTTCACCCATAAGCCATGACTGATCGCGCGTGACTGATCGTACCTCGGTGTAACAATAATCTCAACGATGAAAAGTCGAACGATATCTGAATAAGTCACCTCGACATAATTTCACACGTCGCTTTCTACTTAGAACTCGATACTTATTGAAGCATCGACGAATGACAAAGAAACTTGAGAAACCTGCCTGTTTTGCGCGGGACCCTTCCAAAGTCGCGACCAACTTTGCTGACACTTGTGCTTCTTTCTTGCCTCTGAACGATGAAGTAACTACGAAGAACACGTCCTTCGCACATTTGATATTAGTTGAATCAAGGCAGAGATCCTGCTGAAAAGGATTCGTCAACTAAAACGGATACCGCTAATTGCAACGGACCGTCGCTGTGTCGGCTAATTTTCAAGCAGATTTATTTATTTTCTGTAACCTGAAAACTCCAGGGCTAAAAGATAAGATAAATGCAAGCAGACGCATCTCGAGAAAAAGACAAGGGTACACTCAAAAGAAAGTAATTTCAGAACAAGCGGTATCATTTAAATTCCAGAGGATTTTACTCTTACATATGGCCTCGAGAGGATTCCTCTAAAATTAAAAGGAAAATATTATAAACACATTATTTTTGAAATTAGAGGAATTACATGTTATATGTATAATGCAAATCTTATTGATTTTAATATAAATTATTTAATCCTTTTTTAAGAGGATTATTATTTATTCTCACTATACTACGTTCCTACTGGTTATACCAGTTAATTTGAAAAAATTATTATAATGTATAGTGAAAAATAATACATATAAATATATTTCTGGCTCCAGTTTTACGATAAGTAAGCACGAATTAAATAAGATCATAATAACAAATTTCCAATCAGTTTTATTATGGAGCTCATATAAAGGTATTCAATATAACCAATTGTATATGAAACATAGTTAAAAGAAAGAATATATTATTCAACTTCTTGCAATAGATTATAAACTGCAATTGGGCAAATATGAATAAATTATCTTCGTTATATGTTACAGCGCAACACACATATCTTTTTTCAAAAAGTATTCCAAATATTCTGAGCTATGAGCATATGGTTATTTTTTCGTTCATGTCTGGAGGTAAAGCATGACTGAATAAAAAAGCCGACATTCAAATCGACATATTTGCTCTCCATATAAGAGGAAAATTAATTGATATAAGAAGAAATCTTCTCGGAATAAGAGGAAAACAGTTAGAATAAATATCTAATAAATTTTAGATGAATGGTTCACTTTGATCGCTTTATCGAAAGAGGAATCCTTTCTCTGTAAGAGGCTTCGCTTGGAACACGAGACTATGGGAAAGATCACTTTACAAATAAAATACTTTTTTTTTTTGAGAGTAAGGGTAAGAGATAAACAGATTGATTTTTCTGATCCTCTCTTTCGGCGTCTGCACGGAAGAAATACTTTGCGTCCTGACGACTCTTCAGAGTCCGTCGCACGAGAATATTTTTTGACATCGTGGGCAATCACATACGTTTGATTGGGCCATTAAATGACACTTGTTACAGCAAAGCTCCACGTTGAGTCACGGACATGTGACGTGCCACATGAACGACAGAAACGAAGAAAGGGTCAAGCATACACATTTTAAGAAGTAACACGTGACAAAGTCATAGCCTTGAACAAAGAGATAGGCGAAACGTAGATATGAAAGAACCGTCTGAGACAGAAACGCCGTAAAATGTAGCCTCGGCCAACTTAGACGCTATAAACGACACTTGCGGTAACTGTCCAGAGAGACACGACAAAAGACTTGAAGAAATCGGCGGATTTTTCATAGTCGATCGTTCGCTTGTGTAATCTCCCTCGATGCAGACGGATGCAGAAACGATCAATGTTAGACAACTCAACGGGCACGTGGGAGCTTCGCGAGTTACTACGTTAATAAATGATAGACGACGCGACGAGAGAGCCGACACTCTCGCCACGCTGTACAGATTCAGCTTCGACAGGCCGGTTCGTTTTAGTTGAACTACTGCTGCGCGCGTTGGAACTTCGTTCCTGCTACGTTTACCGCAAAGTTCCACAGGGCGTCCGAGTATCGGGCATCGAAACGCGCTCGTGTGCGGATAGAACTCGTTGACCCGAGTAGACAAGTCCTCTCCCATTTTGCAAAATACCACAGCAGTTCTCGGGATTCAAAAAGTAAGCGCGATGCGATGGGACGGGCCCTGCTTTAGCCTGAAGGGACTCATCTTGGACTTGTTATCTAATCTCCGATCTAGCACCTCGGAAAAAGTAATTTCAGAATAAGCGGAATCATCTAAATTTTAGAGGATTTTAAAATTAAGTTTATAATATCCTCCTCTAAAATTAAGAGGAGGATATTATAAACACGTTATTCTTAAAGTTAGAGGAATTATATATTATATGTATGTATTATATGTAAATCTTATTGATTGTAATATAAATTTCCTCTTATACAAAGATTATTTAATCTTTTTTTAAGAGGATATATTATTTATTCTTACCGTACTTTATTCTTACTGGTTATACATTTCTTTATAGGGAAAGGAGAAAAAATTATTCTGAAACTGTCCGAAAAAAATTCGATATTTTATATTACTTGATATGTTATGAAACATATATAACATTAGATAAATTTGAAAATATTATTATATAATATACAGCGAAAAGTAATATATGTATAAATGTACTTCTGGCTCCAGTTCTACAATAAGTACACACGAATGAAATAAGATCATCATAACAAACAAATTTCCAATCAGTTTTGTTATGTACTTTATAGCTACAAAAATGTTTATCATAACCAATTGTATGAAACATGGTTAAAAGGAAGAATATATTATTCAACTTCTTGCGATGGATTATAAACTGTACTTGACCAAATATGGATAAATTATCTTCGTTGTATGTTACAGCAATACACATACCCCTTTTAAAAATACCCGTTTCAAATATTCTGATCCATGAGTATATTGGTTATTTTTTCGTTTATGTCTGGAAGTAGAGCATGTCTGAACAAAAGAAGCCGACATTCAAATCAACATATTCCTCTTCATTTAAGAGGCAAATGAATTGATATAAGAGGAAATCCTCTTGAAGTAAGAGAAAAACAGTTAGAATAATATGTAATAAATTTTAGAATGAATGGTTCACTTTAATCGCTTTATCTAATAAATTTTAGATGAATGGTTCACTTTAATCGTTTTTCGAATCGTTTATCGAAAAAGGAATCCTTTTCTTGTAAAAGGCTTCGCTTAGAATATGAGAGTATGGGAACAATTACTTCACAAATAAAATACTTCTTTTGGGTGAGCCATAGCAAATGCAGGTGTGAGGCCCGAGTTACCCACCAGGTAAGTAATCGAGACGCGCGAGATCCCTTTGGTGGATTTTCGTGGCCACAAAGTTGGCCTCGAAAGGCCCGAGACCAATAGAAAAACGCCAATGTTATTGGCTATTTTCAACCACCTGATGTAAGCACCCGGTTACTTGGCCGTGTAGTAAATATTAATTTTATAATTCGCAGCTATAATTCTTTCCTCTCTTTTTTCATCGATACGCGTGCGCATTTACGACGAAGTAAGCGAGGTATTTTTGTGGGAGCGCATTTCTGAGATCGTCAACTCGATCGAGGCTGATTTGTCGCAAATTTAACGCCAGGACGTCATTAAAAGTTTTTTGCGCGCTCTCTGAATCTCGCAAAGGCTAACGGTCTTTGCTCTTTTTTTAGATAACCGGTAACCAAAGTCATGTATGTAACGTACACACATTGACGTCCATTTCCTTTAATTAATATCTCGATAAACAGTAGTTTACAACATGGTAAAGCTTTTTTCCACTCCTCTTAACGAGTTCCACCTGTCTATAGCGAGTTTTAACGCCTAAGTCCGTGCATACTTGCGTCCCTCCGTTGAAAGGAAAATAGCGTCGACTAGTTCAGCTAAAAGGAAAACAGATTTAAAATCTCGAAAATGTGTCTCGGTGTCTCATTTCTCCCACTAGCCGCCTGGCCGCCCGTTCTATCGCAAGCGGCAGGATAGCGGAGATCCTTCGTCCACTTCTAAATCATATCGCGCCGCGTTACGCAACTGAACGGATGTGCAAAGAGAGGAAGGTGCAAAT